TGTTTGATTCTCTTCGCTGGCTTTCTCAGTTTTTTGTAAATAATTTTTTCTCTTGCTTTAAATTCAAAAGGTTTTTCTCAATCTCCTCATTTGCTGCGCTGAATCGATCGGTTACTGAACAAGCGAGTGTGTAAATACCCTACAAAGTACTTTCCGTGTGGTATTATCTTTATTATACATTATACATATTGAGACATTCATCATTTTGCCAGCCTTTTAATTGAAATTTTTCCAAGGTAATAATTTGCCCAAATATGCTGCTACACACCCCGAACTGACAACGAAAACAAAGTATATTTAATACAAAAAAGCTTTAAGAAACGCCTGGTAAAAATGTAATGAAGGTAAGGATGTGAAGTAGTCCACGAATTAAAAGTAATTTTAACTTTTTTTTCTGAATGTACAATTAAAAAAGAGATTTTAAGTAAAATAACTTCTTTGAATATAAACGTAACAGAAGCATATAAACTTAGCTCCGAAAAAAAGTTCAAATATGAGCTAACGTCACGTTCTGTTTTTTCCTTTTCGTTGTTGATTTGCCGGCTCTCTTCAATTTTCCTTAACGATAGTGAAATATACAAAACTATTCCAATCTAATTTCCGAGATGTTTTTCACTTTTCCACGAAAAAAACTCTCCTTAATTGTCTTTTCTCGTGGAATATCTGCGAAGCAACTCGCAAAGCGAGGGCGCTGCAAGCTGCAAGAGCCTATAGAAGGCAGGAATTTTGGCGCGAAACTCACCTACCTCTGTGGCTTTTGATTGGAAGTATTATTTTTCTCACAATTGAAAAAAAGATCTTTCGCGATTATGATTGGACGTTTCAATTTTTTTTTTTCACGCGTGAAAAATATCGTTCGCTCCTCTGATTGGCTAGAACTCATTTGCGTATGAAGATTTTTCATATCTTTTCAGTGAGTATATCTCAGTACCTATATACACTGTACGGGGGGGACCTGACACTGTATAATAATTAACAATTACTGTATTCCTCGAGCCCGAATGGGGTCTGAGTGAATTGCCCATGAGGGCGAGAGGAATAATTGTTTTAGTAAAATCCAAGTAGTTGGTAAAAAATATCGAGACAAAACAACCTAAGCTAGCAAAACGCGATTCAGTCACCATTGTTTTGGTTTTCAAAGCCGGCGCTTTTCGCTACTACTAGGCTATAACCGTATAGCCTAGTAGAAGCTCAACCATATCAGAACGCTTGATAATGGACCACTAGTTGGATTTTACTAAAAAAAGATACGTGTAGAGTTTCGCTTCATCACCACCCAACCCCACAGTATTTTTTGTATGATTTTAAAAAATTGCTGCCCGGGCCATCGTAACGGAGCTAGATATTTGAAAGCGAGCTATTTGAAAACTACAAAATAAATATAAACTTCGTGTTTGTGTGACCAGTGTGACAATTAATGCGTTGACGGAATGGTTGCATCGTGATAAGAAAATACTCATGTTAAGCTCGTCGGTTGTTTGTTTATTATTCACCATTTAAATTCTAGTTTATACTTCCGTCACTGATATTATAATCAGATGATGTATTCTTTTTTGCTCTACATGTCAGGGTGTCCCAAAAGTTCGTTCCTCCAATTTTCCTTTTGATCAACACTTTTATTATTTTCACATGAAGTTTCAAAGAGATGTTTATGGTTCTATCGAGTATATGTATTTAGAATTTCAGTTACCGGTATGCCCCCTCGGCCTTTGATTGTTTTTTGAGGCATGGAGTGGGATACGTCATGTAGCGTGTAGAGCCCCAGATGATCCATTTTTAGCCTTTTTTCCACCTGGTACGCAGTAGCCACTTAATTCGACCCCTAACAAGATCTTTTTTTCAGATTATATTAGGCAGCGGAAAAAAATTGGGCATTCATCCAAAAAAGCCTTTCCGCAGTGAGGCTTTTGTACTTCCTTACAAATTTGACAAAAACTGAGCGTTGCTTGGCGGACTGAGCATAGCTATATTTTGCCATCTCAGTAGACTGTAGACTGTTCACAGTCCCCTATTTTTTCGTGAGATCGTTTAGATATACCACGTCTTACCGTCACGGGTATCTTGATTTTTAAAGGTACCGAAGGGGCGGGCGTCGGAGATTATAGCTCTGAGGGGGGGGGGGGGAGGGGCGAGAAAAATAGAGGGACTGTAATAACATAACTGCAGCTCGCGTTCACTGAGCGCGTTGTACCAGCAACGCATGCGTTTGATTGGTCATTATACAATAGATGTTAATTTGCGTTGACAACGGGTTTAATCTAAGTTGCCGACATTGACAAGTCGTTGACAAGTCGACGTTTCCATAAAATGTACGCTTTCATAACATAAGGCACATCTTGCGCAAACACGCGAAGGATTTTTTGTATTTTGATTAGGAAAATGTTTTCTTGTGCATGTTTGCCGATTTTATTTCGAGGAATGGCCCAGAAACAGTATAGAATCACTGTTTCGAAAAACACGCGCGTAATCGATGCTAAATGTGTCTGGCATGTTTTTCATCACCAGCGGAGTTTCTTAATTAATGAATGGTAAAAGGCGTGAAATTCCTGTCACGCCTCCTGAACGCGAGCTGCAGTGATGTTATTACAGTCCCTCTATTTTTCTCGCTTCCTCCCAAACCGCCCCCGCCCCCTAAGTAGTTTTGACACTCATGCAAGATGGCAGCCCGTAACGCAAAGCGCTCGATCTCGATGTTCTTACGGAAAAATGGAGGACTGTGAACAGTCTAAGTAGACTGCTAACAGTCCCCTATTTTTTCGTGAGATCGTTGAGATAAAGCGCGTCTTACCGTTAATGATGGCCATCTTGATTTTACCATCTTGATGTACCGAGGGGACGGGCGTCGGGGATTATAGCTCTAGGGGGAGGGGGGCGAGAAAAATAGGACTGTAATAACATCACTGCAGCTTGCGTTCACGGAGCGCGTTGTACCAGCAACGCAGGAGTTTGATTGGTCATTAGACAAAAAATGTTAACTTGCGTACGCGTTGACAACGGGTTTAGTTTAAGTTGCCGACACTGACAAGTCGTCGTTTGTATAAAACGCACGTTTTCACACCATTAGGTACATCTTGCGCAAACACACGACCAATTTTTGTTATTTTGCGGATAAATCACCTAAGCAACATGCTTTTGAAGTAGCCCAGCCAGAGGAATGTTGTAACACAGTTTCTGCCAAACGAATTCAAATTTAACGCTACGCCGACGCAAAAAAGACGACCTGTCAGAAATGCCTGGCTATTATCGGGAGGTTTAACCGTTTTAGTCTGTGGTGAAGCGAGCATGCTTAGCGATTTGATTAGAAAAATGTTTCTCTTGTGCCTGTTTGCCGATTTTATTTGGTGGAATGGCCTAAAAACATTATAAAATCACTGTTTCGGAAGGAGATATTTGTAAACACTCGTAATCGATGCTAAATGCGTCTGGCATGTTTTTCATCGCCAGCGGAGTTTCTTAATAGGACAATTGCACGATGACGTCATTTTACTACAATTACCAGAATCCTTGAGTTTGTTGTTTTCTTGTGCAAATTAAGGCTATTGTTCTTTAATCCTCAGCGGGATTGACAAATTTAAATAACAAAGCAACAACGAAATGAATTCTGGTAGTTGTAGTCAAATATCGTCATGGTGCAATTGTCCTATTAATGAATGGTAAAAGCGTGAAATTCCTGTCACGCCTCCTGAACGCGAGCTGCAGTGATGTTATTACAGTCCCTCTATTTTTCTTGGTTCCTCCCAAATAGTCTCCCGGCCCCATAAGTAGTTTTGACACTCGTGCAAGACGGCAGCCCGTAACGCAAAGCGCTCGTTCTCGATGATCTTACGGAAAAATAGAGGACTGTGAACAGTCTACCATCTCAGGGGCCTTCGACCTTCGTTTTCATGAACTTGTCCCGGAATTTGCTTGCTAACTGTTGTGACAGCTACCTCGTCTAGTTTACTCTTTTTTACCTAGCCCTTTAAGACTATTTTAGCTGGTTTATTCACGACTTTTGGTCTTTCTCGGTCTTCAAAACCTTCATTTCTCGATGACCATATTACCATCCATTACATTCGTATTTTTCCACCTTTCAGCGATTTCTTTAACTCAAAGATAAGCATAGCCAAGAGTTTTTGCTCTAAGAGGGGTTGTCTTTTATGATATTCACAAAAAACAACGAAGGAATTCGAGCAATTTGGGCTACAAAATGCAAAAAATATATATGTGGCTGGAAAATATATCTTGCGCGCGAGAGTACCAAAGGTATTCAAGTCAAAAGATATGGTACGACAAGTATGAAATATTAAATAACATTGAAAAGACACAACTTTTATTTACAGCGATTACCACTAACACGCACCCTCAAGGGGTTTTTTCTTCGGTTCAAACCTGCCTTTTGGTGGACGTCAATCAACCGTTACCATGGTTTTCACACGTTGGCCAAAAGAAGATTCTTTCCCCGTTTCTCAAGCACTCGGAGGAAAATGTCGGTGTTTAAGCCGTGTTTGCAATATTATTTTGCTACAGGATCTGACACCGCTTCATGTGAAGATTACGAGGAGTACAAATTTGTGGAGTGTGTAAGTTACAACAACATAAGCTTTCTCAATACACGCTGGCAACTCGTCTGAGTTCTTGCCACTTCAGGATTCTATTGAGTATTCGATAATATGAAGAATGACAACTAGATCTTCAGGTTACAAAATTCATTTTCGAAAACAGCCTCCGTTCAGAGGAAACCTTTGTCCCTTGACGGTGTGATATCTTCCGTTTCTTTGCGGGCCATAGACAGTTTTGTCTATATGGTTTCTTGCAATATGATTGGTCGAGGCAAAACCAAAACAAAGAAATTTGGCCGAGAGGAACTGGGGTGACCTGAACCTTGTGCACGGAAATGTGCACGGCGGCCATATTGCAACGCGACAACATCACCGTAAAAAATACACACAAAATTGACAATAATTTAACGAGAAACAACATTTAATTCTGGATTTGTACGTCATAAATCATTTTATGTTCTAATTTTCGATATCGATTGTCATCAGCTCTCCATTCTCGCACTCCGCTAAGGACGTGCGGAGTCTGTCGAGCACGGCCTTTTTGTGCTCGCGTGGACCTTCAACGTGAATAGTAGCCGGGATGTAAGCCCCTCCACCAGCCTGTTTATTTCTTTGGAACTTTTGGGCTGCGTTGGGACGAACAGAAACCGTTGGTTCTCCGTTGACAATCCTTAGAGAGAAGAGACAAACGCAGATTAAAAAATTCAGGCCGACGAATTCCAAAACTGTTCACCGGTACAAGTAAACTGAATAGCTTCGTTTCAATTTATTACACAGAAAAATATTCAGACAAAGGAGATAACCGATAATTCACTTACCCTTCAATCCGCGATTGCCACACTCCAGAAGGTAGGATAGCTCCCTGTTTAAAAAATACTGAATTCTGCCGATCTGAGACCCTCGCACATCTTCCAAAGTGTAACTTTTTCGCTTTGATTTGCTGTAAATGGCCATTTTCCGCAAAGGCTCCGGAATTAGTTCCAATTCGGCAGGGATAAGACATGCCAGTGCGAAGGGATCATACTCGTTGTAAGCTTCCTTTCTAACGATAAATGGTGTCCCAGATCGTGCTTTAACCTTGAAATGGTGATATCTGAAAATTATCCAAATTAAACAGCGTAAGCCATGGAGATAGAAGAGCCAAGTAAGGCTTTGTTTTCTGAAGGAATTTCACATGAAGTGCGGTAAGGCAATTAGTTTACGCAGAAAATACCACTGCTGCAAAACTTACCCTTTGATTTGAACGCCTTTGATGGAAATTCTGAAAAAGTCCATTGTCGCGGCCATGCTGAAGGATTGCGCTCACTTTTCGACACTTTGTTCCGAGGATTTGAGACCTTTGACCAGCTCGGCACCAACTCTGCCTTTTCCGGTGAGATTTCCAGACGACACTTCTAGAATGCTAGTTACCAATGAAATAACTACTTGTTTCAATGTTGGTTTATTTGTGGTGCTGTGAAGAACTCCTATTTCACTGCTCTGACGCAAGTGTTTCGCGTGGACATTTTTGTCAGTCTTATATTTAAAAATTGAAGTGATCTCAAAAACTGTTTTGGAACCATGAATTCGATAAGCCCTGATGTAAACGGTACTGAAGGCGAAGCTTGGTAAGTAATATTTTTTCATTATGCTCATGTTGTTGCCCAGTTGAAACCTTTTCCGGTGTACATGTAGATGCTTATTGAATGTTTTGAAACAAACCGCTGAAAGTTAAAAGAATATCTTTTCAGCGGGTAGCTAGGTACCTATTTGGACAAGCAGGAACATTCCTATCATAACTGCTCTGGTCTCTTTCTTAAAAAGTTGTAAATAAGTCTCGTGGTTTTCGATTTGGCAAGCACCCCCAGCTATACCCTCACCCCTCCTCCGTGCATTCCTATAAATATTTGTACTTGTAATCAGGAGAACCTTACACTGAACACGAACAATGGCAATTGTATTAAAACTACTTACTTTATATTCGCAGTGGAACTTCGCAAAAGGCCGAATTAAAAAGAAATACACCGCGAAGGGGGAAAGAGAAAATGGCCTACATAAGCAACTCCCAGGCGAGGTCTTCCGCGCTATACCGGCTCAAGGCGACTTTATTTCAGAAGGGTCACGCTCTTCACACCATGACAAAGGCTGAAGTAATTATTGTAATCGATCACAAGGGACAGCGTTTTGTCGGCGGTTCTCTGGGCCTTTTAGAAACATATAGTAAAGGAATACTTAAGCCCACCCGAGCCCAGCACAGATACGATGCCCCAGAGGCTGCAACAGACCCTGATCGCCCGGAAATCGAACCGCTCGAAGACACTCCTGAACATATCAATATTGATCATCGTTTGGCTGGCGTTCTAGGGCATTCATCAACGAGAGGTGAGACTCGCGTCCCCCCTTCTAGAAAGAGGTTGCACTATGGTGATAGTCCTGACCCTGTGATACCAACTCCTGTTAAGGAATTATTGTTGAATAAACCGATGCCGCAACTCACCGACAAAGAGAAAAATGACGTACCCACCGTCCAGAAACAGAGTAAAATATCATTTATTTCTGACGAGAGCGTAGAGATCTTTGTTGCTGGAGAGGAAGAGTGATATAGCAGATACTGTATGGATGATCAATCAATGACCCTCGTCAGCTAATTAAATTGTTATTGTTCCTGGTAACTTTTGGGCATTTCCCAAAACAATCAGAACGTTATGTTTTGTTAATGTTTATTGAAGCTATATGAACTGTCAAAATACATAGCTCTACAAGGCAACTCAGTACGTGCTATTGTTTCTGTTAAATTGAATTGACTTTTTTTTGAAAAACTACAGTAGCAATTGAACAATCATTGATTAAAAGCAAATAGTCCATTAAATTACTTATGGCTGTTGTAGTATACCAATAATTGCATAAAAGGAGGAGGGGTGGAATCTCACATACAAAAGTGATGTACATGTAAATGGTTATTGAAAGTTTTGAAACAAACCGCTGAAAGTTAAAAGAATATCTTTTCAGCGAGTAGCTTGGTACCTATTTGGAGAAGCAGGAACATTCCTGTCATAACCAACTGCTCTGGGCTCTTTGTTAAAAAGTTGTAAAATAAGTCTTGTGGTTTTCGCTTTGACAAGCACCCCCAGTTATACCATCACCTCCGTGCATTCCTATAAATCTTTGTATTTGTAATCAGGAGAACCTTACACTGAACTCGAGGGAAAAATCCATTTAAATTACTACTGATGTGACTTTTAGCTTGGATTAAAATCTAGGCCACATTATATTTATCACTGTTCATGCAGCCTTCTATTGCAACTCAATGGCAGGGAAACATTCCTTGGTACAGTATGTGCATGCATACACGAAATTTAACAAAGTGAAATATTTTAAAAGAAATGGATAAATTATTGAGATAACAATCTAGAATATACATACACAGAAAAAAAACCACTGTAATCCTGCTAACAGTCCTGCCAGCAGTTTGCAAAATTTCATTTAAGTGTGTAATAGAGTCGATATCCGACACAAAATCTGACAGAAGCAGCACAGTTTTGTTTTACTACTCAATGAAAAGATACTGAAAATATCCATATTCCCACCACAGAAGGGATTGGAAATTCCTGGGGGCCTCAAAGACCAAAAAAAATATAGAAATGTGTGGGTCCAGAAAATAGCCATACCCCCAAGGATGGTTTTATGGTTCGGACCCTCCTACCCTACCTGGAATTTCCAGTTTTGCTTCATACTTTCCCTTCAAAAATTTGACTTTTGAGACCCCCTCCCCCTTGGAATTTCCAGTGACCATCCTTGTGATGGGTGTGGACATTTTCAGGAACCACACAATGTATGAAGTTAAATTTGAATTTCTATAGGGGCTTGGGTTCTTATTTTAAAAAATCCCTTCCGCGGAGGAGGTATGGATGTTTTATGGATCAGCACAATTTTTACAGCTTCATAATAATTATACAATATTATCATCAGTCAACCTCTCCATCTTCATCAACTTCCACAATACATTGTTCGTTTACTGCTTCAAGGTGCTGAAGCTCTTCAATTATGTCATTGTACAATACAAGCAGTGCATCCTTTTTGGCTTTACTTGGGTGGGCCTTAAAATATTCCAGCTTGCTAGACAGAGGTCCTCTTACCTCTTCATCAAAAATCTGCTGTAGTTTATCTCCAATGCGTTTCAGAATTTCATCCTTGGTGGCATTCTTTATATCTTCAGCTACAGCCCTTTCTTGAACAGTTACATAAAGTCTTTGTACCTCCACCTCTGTTCGCTTCTTGCCATCAATGAAATGTTCACTGAGCAGTCTTCTCCGGTTATTCTGCAAAATTTCTTCATAGTTTGAAAGAGCCTTATCCAATTCAAGGCCATCCAAGGAAACTAGCTTCTCTGAACAGTTCCCCTCCAGATACCTGTAGCAAACCATTAAAAATACAATAATCATCAGGGAAGGAAATCAGGGAAGGATTTGGCCAACATACATTACAGGGAAATTTGCCATACCATAATAATAATTATGGTTTCTAATATAAAACAAACTTTGGAAAGTTGGGAATTAGATGACAAAAGTCTGTGAGCTGAGGTAATGACTTCAACTTTATTCTCATACAAAGCAATAGCAGTTACCGTGTATCATGTTAGCAAAAATTGTTAGGTCTAAATTTGGAGGGTATATCATACACTGCAATATTTAAAGGTCAAAGAGGTGCACTTGAAATAGTACAGAAACTTGCCTTTCTTTTCGAAGCTTTATCCTCCATGCAAGCACTTCATCTCCAAAGTCATTTTTTTTTTCTAGACTCTATGGCTTCCTCTTTTGGGTTTTGTAAACCAACCATGGTGAAGAACCAGTTTCTCACCTATAGTGATATTGTTAGAAACATTTCAATATTTATGTAAAATATCTGAAAGTAAATGCCACAGTGATTCTACAACAGAAAAGTGTCCCTGATACATGTAGATGGTCCCACCATTTGCTACAATTTCATCTGCAACATGTGTATGAAAAGTCCAGCAAACAGGGACTAAGATTATAAAATTAATATTTTTTAGTTACAAGATAAATGTCATGTCCCAGCCTACAAGAGTTAAAATAATATTATCATCCGGCATGAAAACACACGTCCACATGTCTACTTCCCCTGTTACCAGCTACCACATTACATAGATGGCATTTTTTTTATCTGGTGCCTGCTAACAGATATATATGTACACACATGCAAGTAAAAAAGGTAAACAAACCTTGCCCAAATTTCCAAGATTTCTGACAATTCGGAGCCAGTCAAGAGCAACCATCTTGCCATGCTGCCACACTTTCGAGTCCTTATTTACTTCCTCTAGGCAAGCATCCATATCTTCTCCCTTGCTCATGTTACCAGAGGTACTCACAGATTCTGTGGTTTTCACAAATTGATTGAGTTTCCCTGGGTAGTGAGCACGGTCAATGCTATAAATACATGTATTAACACGAAAGAGAGAATAAACAGGTTGCTTTAAACAAGACCTTTCTTTAAAGTTGGACTGCACTAAAATGTGGTCTAATGCATTCCAGAGAAGACCCCACACATTTACAATACAGTAAATGTACAAAATTTTACATGTAAAAGTTTATTACTATTAGTTACAAAATGTGTGTACTGCTACAATGTACAAGTAAAATGGGCTAATAGTTAATCGTGGCTGGCTTATGCCTTTTTTCGATTTCAAGGCTATGCTCAAATTTTTTGGTTTTGTTTGTCACACTTAACAATACAAAATTTTTGGGCAACATTTGACAGTTTATCTCAAGACCCCTTTTCACCCATGTGGCCTTGAAGATCCATGTTATATTTTTGCAGTGCGACCCATAAATATTGGCTGCAAAGCCAAACGGATCGACATGGGCCTCAAATTCAAACAATTTAATTCCACTCACCTGTCGTGTAGATCTATCAATGCATATTTTGATGAGCTACTTCTATGGAACAAAGGTGCAAATGACAACTGCCCTGCTCTGATGTAGGAACTATTGTTCCTTCTCACACGTTCCATTGTTGTTTGGCAAACAGGGCAAACACGTCTTCCTTCATTCGCTTTTAATTCATCTACACGCAGGTCAATGTCATCTTTCCATTCACCGTTGACTTTATTTTGCTCCATTAGCAAATCATGAAGAAGTTCATGGATCATCTTTTTGTTCTGAAGTCATAAGAAAATAGAAGAGTCTTATCAATATTTAAGCAATATCAAAAATTATTACAATGTGTTGCAGTTGGTGGAGAAAGTGGCATGAGCAAGGTATTTAAACAAAACACTAAGCACGGTAATGCAAAAGCAAATTAAATTCAAATTACTTTTACTTAGTTAAGTTAAATCCAGCACCAATAAATTACTACTGATTGTGTGTACATGTGTGTTAAGGCATTTGTTTATGATAGACAGCTTATAAATAAATTCCTTCAAAATAAGTGCATAGAAAACCAGTAGAAAACCAGTCACACTTCTCATGAGACATTAAAATGTAGATTTCTTGTGATTTGAGACCACAAAATCTGTTTTCCAGTAAACTGGCTACATGCCCTACAGATAGCTAAAACAAAAACTTCTTTGTGTTTGAGGTAGCCAGGGGGTTCATTAAGGGCCGGGCACTGGGCAAATTGACCAGCTGTGAACACGACTTTGCCCGGCTGCTTTAAATCTCAAAGAACTTCTTTTCAATACAAGGAACGATCAAAAACAGTTTTAAGTTACAATCGTGCCCTTTTCTTGATAAGTCTTATCGAGTGTAAAACATACTTTGCCGTGCAATTTCCGCTTTATTACACGCGGCATGAAATCCCCTCGTTCATTATGTGTTAAAAACAAGAATCGCTCCATAACACATTGCGAAAAGACCTGTGCTTCATAAACGACCACCTGAAATGTATCAGTGTTGCGAGCACGTGAGCATGGCGACCCAGAAAAGAACGCGTTCGATAGCTGATTATTTTTCGGCTTCAACTAAAGGGCCTTCAGTAGAGAAAATGCCAAGAGGTGAGTAGACATCTTTGTGATTTAACCCTTTACTTGAAAGTCACTGTCTGCAGCTTCAAAATGTAGAAAAACACATCCCTGTGACTACAGAATTTCAAAATTTTCCGCAGGAGCATGTCCCCGGACCCCCCTAGAAGGCAAGGCAATTCTTTGCCCGGTTGTCAAACTCAATTGCCCTCCTGTTCAAAACCTTAATGAACCCCCTGGGTAGCTTGCTAGCCAATACAGAAAGCAAAAATGATTGACCGTCTCTAAGGTAGGAATCAAAAGTATCTTACATAAGTTTGCTCATCTGAAAGCCTTTACCTCGTGGCAAATCAATCCCTTGTTGTCCTCTGAAGCAGAGCGCATGTCCAAAAGCTTTACCTTATCCTCTTCACTTTTCTTCCAAAGTTCACTTCTTTTAGACCATGAACTGAAACAAATATAAATTGTATACATTGAACATGTTGCTGTGACAAGAAGTATTAGTTGCTACATTGTACATGTAACCTTTCAAGACATTTCCTGGTACAAAAAAATATCATTTGAGCTTACACCCTGAACAATCATTACTGATTTTTAGGAAATACATGACCATTTTTATTTCTACAACTTCTAAATAATGTAGGTAGTTGTACATATCAGTGGAAAGTACACTCCCTCTCTCTCGCTTAGCTTTAACACAAAACTGTTATTACCAGAAAAATGCATCCCCTAAAGAGTAAGGACCATGTTACATGTAAATTTTGTGAATTTTTCTTTTCCCTAACCATTTCCTGACCAGTGGCAACCCAGGTCATTCATTAAGTTCCTTGCCTTAGTTATCAGTGCAGCTGTTACAGCTTACCGCTTTTCTGCATTTAAGTGTAAAATATTAAAGCAAATTAAAAACAAAATATTACAGAAATAATAAGTACATGTAGCAGACTTGGAGTGACCATGTACATTTTTACCTACCCTGGAGAAAGACTTTGGTCCCACTGCAAAGTTCCCTCTGGATGGACTGGAGCCACACAAACACTGGTTAGAACACTAATCTGTGCTTGGTTATCCTTTCGGACAGTCCATTTTTTGATAAGTACTTGATCATTGTCAATAGCAGCAAGAATATCACCACCGGGAACTTGAGGGACATCCATGGTCAAATTGTTCAGCCACGTTCTGGCACTTGTGATACCACCAGCAGGATGCAACTTCCCATAGATATTTAGGACAAGCTTGCTACGAGTGACTGAGTATGCAAGTAAATTTGATGCAAACATCAAGGGGCTAATGAAAGATGGCTGCACTAGGGAATAAAGTTGATCAACACTGACAGCTTTCTGAAAAGGTTGAGTTTTTTCATTTGCAAGTGCATTAACTGCAGAAGCAATTGAATGGAATTTCTGGCGTGAACCCATGTATGAGGTGTAACTTTCAAGAGCACAGGCAGACTTTTGTAGGTTTGACTACAGGATGAAATATCTTTTTTGATATTTTCTTTTTCTAGCTGGAAAATTTTTGAAGTCAGATTAATTTTATCTTGACTGTTCAAACAACGAATGGATGTTTCAAGGTTCTGCCTCTGTCCAGAAAAATGAGATTAATTAAACTGGTCAGCAAGTTCCGTGGCACATGCAAGGGCCAACTCTCTGTCCAACAATGGAATGTTTTCAATTAGTGCACTGAATTCTTGGCAAGAATTCTTCTCTTCTTCTGTTTCAATTTCCTCACCACTCTCAGTGTCACTTTCGTTATCTTTCGTCACAACCTTTTCTTCAACACTTTTTGGAGGACGCCCTCTGGCTTTCTTATTACATGGACAGTTTCCTTCAGAGTGACTTGTCCACAAATAAGGTCGTTTTGAGGTCGAGACTTTGGCATGCACATCTGTATTGCCAGGAATTCGATAAAGTGATCGTTTGCATCCAGTGCAGATACTATTGGGATGAATTTCTTCCAAGTCTTCCTCAATGTTTATTCGAAACTGGTTCAATAACTCATTTTTAAATAAACTTTTGTCAGCAAAATCAGACTTCCTTGAAAGGACTTTTCCACACAGTCGACAAGCTGTCCTTAAAAACGATAAATGACCATCCATGAGCTGCAAAGGAGATCAAAATAAGAGCTTTAGAATTGAAAGTCAATAGATAAGCAGCAGAAAACACTTGAAGAGCCAATGTTGCCGAAGAGCAAATTATCAGGATGTTACACTAAAAAACAAAACAAGGTGCACTTGAATTCCGTTTTGATGTTTTTCATGCAAATGTATTGGAGAACACCACTGCATTTTTCTCTTTTTAAAAAGAGTGTGACTGAGGCAGGTTTTAGAGTTTTTATTTAAATAACAAAACAGGCTTGTAGCCACAAAGTAGTTTAAGGTGCTTCTTACTGCACTTCCTTTGTAAGGAATTTATCAATACAGGGAATAAAATTCTTGTGATTTTGATGCAGGGAGTGGTAGTGTGACTTAAAGGAAAATGCATGTATGAAAGATTATGTATGTATCTTAATTCTAAATAATTATGACTGTACAATAAATAAGTCTAAGGCATAGGTCGCACTTGGGAAAAGTTTTCATCTTTGCCGGCTAAAAAACCACGAAAATTCGAAACCGCAACCGGAAAAGAAAACTTTTAGTCAAAGCCTCCAATTTTCATTCGTGTCACAGCATGTCATCAAGATACATGTACAACCAATAACTTGGAAAGACGCTTTCTTCGCGACATTCAAACGACGCCATTCTCTCTAAACAGCCGACTTGTAATTCTTTTTCTGCATGTATAGAGAGGAAAGACCAAGGTGTAAAACGAATATAACACGACTATCCACCAACTGAAAAGAAGAGAAAAATAGAACCTTCAGAATAGCAGACGCTAGTACTCTTTAACAAGCAATGGCGGTAAAGGGCAATACTACGAGTCACACTTCAACCGGCGTACACTTGAACTAAACCGCCGGCCGCGCACTTGAATTCTGCTTCGATGTGTTTGAAGCCCAATCATCAGAGAATACCACAGTGTTTTTGTTTTGGCTAAAAAAAATCTTACCTACCTCAAATTTCCTTTTGCTTCGTAGCATGTCAGCCTTTCCGAGCTCAATTTAGGTGCCACAGTTCGACTTCGAATGCACATTTCTTCGGCACATTTCAACCGCCGCCATTTCTGATTGCCTTGAATATGGAAGCTCCGTCTGTCCTCTTTCAGGGGAACTGGGACTCAAGGGACCAAACAGCCGTATACAAAAAAACTGGGACAAAATTTTGGGGCGGGTAGAAGTTCTCAAGAATTGTGCCAGGACGACATTTTGATGACGTCATCATATAAACAAAATTATCTATGGCCCGAATAGAACTCACTCAGCTCTCAAAGACCTCGTTGTTTTGACAATGTAATCCTTCATCTTAATCAAATAAATACTTTTTAGTTTGTAGGTCCACATCAGCTCTTTAGCTGCCTTTTTTTACTGACCTACATGACAAATAAAGTATGTATGTATGTATATGTAAAAAAAAAAAAAAAAAAAATTTAAAACGTGATCGTCATGCGAAATTCTCCTTGTACTTTTTCTCCGTCCTTCATTCAGCGACGAGGGGACCTTCTCTGTCAGAACACGTCAGAAAACTGATGGAAACACTTGATTGACGTCCACGAAAACTCAGATTTCAACCAGAGAGAAAAAAAAACATTCGACGGCGCGTGTTAGTGGTAACCGCTGTAAACGATTTGCTCATCCAGACCAATCGTACAGACTTGCAAAGCAGAGGAATGAACCTTAGTTTGCCCATCCTGTAATTTCCGACGTAACCACTCCAACTGGTCCTTAATCGAACTTTGTCGAACTCAATCCGAAGCAAAACATTTGCGAGAAAAATTGATTAAATTCGATTTCCGAACTCAATCAAATAAATTGGACTTAATCGAACGTTTTAAACCAACACTCAAAATAGACAAGGATTTAGGGTGTTCAAAACAAAAGGGGACAATTAGGACATCTTCAGAAGGAATTAGTTGACGACTTTTGGCCAATTACTCACAGAATAAAGACTGATAAGTACCCATATGTGAGTACCCAAGAACAAAGCAAAAAAACAACCAACAAATGAGCTAAGATCATGAGAAGTAAATTTTCCGGGTTTATTAGTTGAATTCGCTTCGTTTTTCTGTAGCGCTGTGAAAGGAGATCCTTTCCCTGATCCACGTGGCAGAAACAAACGTGGAGAAAGTCTGCGTGACGGTGCGATTGACTGTCACGTTACCTACAAGGGACGCCGTAAAGTTAAAAACTCTTTCACGAAGCATAATATTCACTCTGTGATTGAGGAGGTTGATTAAAAGATAAAGTTGTAATATGACAATATAGTATTGTTCGTCCCAGGTGTTCTTGTATATTTTTTCGCTCCAGAGAATACACTTCATTGATCCACTACAACACTCCCGGGATATACTCAGTCGTGATACAGTCTAGAAAAAGGAAACATTCAGCAAAACACGCGCAATTTTCCTGTATAACGTCCCATTTTAATCGAATGCATGCCGACTTCGACCATCGATCCTAATCGAACTCAACCAAAGTTCGATTGACTTCGATTAGTAAATTTTTTTGTGTGAGAGTTCGATTGCGTTCGATTACCGAATTAAGTCATATGTTCATGTTCGATTAAGAAATTAAAACGTTCGGTTTGGTTCGAGTGGTTACGTCGGGACTAATTATAGCGGAGCTCTCGCGCGCGAAGCGCGCCAGCGGAGCACCATGTGTAAGAAAATTTGGTAAACTATCCATCCGATAAAATTTGGTTATGACGTAGCGTACGCCCGCCCGCCCGCCCGCCCGCCCGCCCACCCGTACACACACTTCATGTAAGCCGATGTCAAGTGTCACACTTGTCAGGACCGTGAAATAAATAACAACGGAGACTAATGCCGCTGGAAGAAAAACATGTAAATTATATAGCGGCGGTTAGAAAATGAGGAATGCTAGCGGCTACTAATGTGAAAAAGCAGCGGCAGTGAAAAAATAGAATGAACAGGAACACAAACATTTCCTCAATAAAACGCGTAAATAGGAAGCTAAAAGAAGTTTCACGTTAGTCGTGTAAAACAACGGTAAGGAAATGTACAAAAAAAAACACTGCTGCACGTGCAGTTTTTTTGCTAATTAGAAAAAAAGTGTGCTGCACGTGCAAAGTTGTTTTTTTGCTAATTAGATCTATTGTTGTTGTTTTTAGCGTTTTCGTTGCTTTCAACTTGTCTTTAGTATTCATCGATTTTATATTTTCTTTGAGGAATCCATAAATATTAAAGAGAGCTTCGCTTTTAGCCCTGGCTAAATCTATATATTAACTATAGCGGCTAGGACTGATTTGGCCAAGGATGCTTCAACGATTTTGATCAGATTATTACAGATTTTTCCTATAAACATGGCATTTGCAGCTTATGTAATGGAAAATGTAATTTTGTTCTTCTCCCCGGGTGGGGCATTTGCACGCATTTTAAAGCCCCCCCGCGGGGTTCTTGTATAAACAGCCCAGCCTCACCGTGGGGCTTTTGCAGCTTTTCCAAAGAAAAATGACAAATACCCGATAAATGCGTGTGGGGATGGTCACGTTTTTAATTGACTGAGCCATTATCACTTCTCACTACCCTGGGAAATTATCACCCCTGGAGAGGATTATCACCTCTTACCACCCCGGGGATTACTTGGATTATTACACCAATGTGTAGAGAAAAGTGACCTGCTCTCCATATTTCAGGATTACTTCATCTCTTACCCCTTCCCCCTCAAATCTAGTTCTTTGCTTTTAGCAAAAGAGTTATGGGTTGCGAGCATTAAAAGCCAAGTAGAGAGCGGTTGCTATAGTTTATTTTCAGATTGACTTCTTCGTCAACCTTACAGAACATCTGCCACTCCTGCATCAAGGAATGCAGCCGTTGTCTGTACCATATAAATTTCTCATTTCCGATAATGAGACCTGCAGATCTCTGTCTTCGCTCCTAGTGTCTAAGGCGGTAGGTCCTGCTGGCAACATTCCCAAAAGGCTTTTAAGAACTTTGAACCCGAGTTGGCTCTTATAATCCGGGAGCAGTCGTTAAGGGAGAGGTATATTCCATCTCTCCTCAAATCATCAATTGTTAGTCCCCTCCCTAAGGTGATCCCTCCT